GGAATAATTTAGAATTGACCAATAGTGGGACACTAATTTGCATGCGTGTGGTGGGAACTCTTTTGCACCGGGGATTTCTCTCTGCAGCTGAGAAATCCACCATGCAAAGAAAGCTCCATGTGGCGGGCAAATTCCAATGTGCCGAGGCACTAAGAATTATTGGGTTATGACACTTGGTAGCTTTCCCCTGCTTCCACCGCCTATATGCCTTCTTTTTTAGCCCTTAGGCTCCCCTGCATTTCCCTGTTTAGCCAAGGAAGTTTTTTGGCTCCTTTCCCCCTTTTCCCTCGTATTGGAATAGTCTCTCTCTGTGCCCGAAGGATCACTTCCTTTAGGAACAATCACGCTTCCTGGACTCCCATCTCGCCAATATTCTCCTTCTGCAGTGCATTATTGACTAGATTCCTAAGCACACTGAAGTTAGCCTTCCTAAAGTCAAGCACTTCCACCCTACTAGTTATCTTACCTACCCTATGCCGTATGGTGAATTTGACTGATTGGTGGTCACTGTCCCCAAGGTGACCACAAACCTGCAGCTCCCCTACCAGGTCATCCCCCGTAGCCAGCACCAAGTCCAGTAAGGTATTCCCCTTAGTGGGACCATATATCTCCTGTGTTAGGTGAAGGTCCTGCACGCAGGTTAAGAACCTATGTGAATGGTTGGGTTTGGGTGACTGCTCCTCCCAGCAGATGTCAGGGTAGTTTAGGTCCCCCATGACAACCATGTCCCTAGACTGTACAGCCTCTGAGAGCTGCCTCAGGAATTCCAAATCTAGCTTTTTCTCTTGGTGTGGTGATCTATAGCCTACCCCCACCACCAAGTCCCTTTCCCCATGACCTCCATGTAGCCTAACACACAATGCCTGAACTTTCTCCTCCTCTGATCCCATTTTGATTAGGGTAGATGTACATAGAGAGCAACCCCGCCCCCTTTCCTCCCCTTGGTACTTACCTGGGGTGTACTGCTGCATGTCTCACAGTTTGTAGGTTCTAGACTCTCTCCATCTCCTGCCTCCTCATTCCCCTTCATACTTAGTTTAAAGCCTGATGTAGGAGGTCAGCCAACGTGTAAGAAAAGAGACTCTTACCTTTTGCGGAGAGATGAAGCCCGTCACATCCCAGGAGGTCCCTTGCATGGAAGTGCGGATCGTGGTCCAGGAAGCCAAAACCCGCGCGATGGCACCAACTCCGGAGCCGCGAGTTGACTTCCCTGACACAGGTGATGCGATGCCTACTGCGACCGCTGACCGGGAGGATTGACAAGAGACCACCTGCGCCCCTGTCTTCCTATGTCTGGTCCCCAGAGCCCTGTAGTCACTCATGATATGGTCTGGACTACTCCTGGCCACATCATTTGTTCCCACATGAATGAGAACCATGGGATAGTTGTCGGAGGGCCGGATGAGGTCAGGAATTCTCGCCATGATGCCCCTGATCCTAGCTCCGGGCAGACAGCAGACCTCACACGCCGTGGGATCCGGACTACAAATGGGTCCCTCTGCTCCATCAGGATACGCATTCGTGACAACTGACGAAGGAGGTTACTCACGGGTTGGTTCACCATTGGGTTAAGCAGAATCCGGAGGACGACGATGTTTTTTCGCCCATAAACCTCAAGACAACTGTCTATGCTGTGAATGGTTACTGGAACGGTTCCAGGATCTCGTAGATGACGGTGAGGCCATGGTCTTATTCGCTGGAGTGATGTCAGTCCCAGCGCACATGCTCTGGGGTTCCAGGCACAGTACGAGACTCCGATGATTGCTAGCATAAGTTGTTCTGCGCCGGTATGTTCTGGCCGTCCGTCATGCAATGCGTGGGCTTTTTGACCGATCAGTCCTGCAACAAGGGCTGGCAGTGGAATAGGCCAGTGAACGTTGAATGCCACCATGTCGATGTCAGTGACATGTCCTCTACTCCACGAAGCTTGTCTGACCAAGAAGCTTGCTTCTTCCTGGTTTAGCAGGTCGGATCCAAGTTCCACGACCAAACGTCCCAACCACACAGCTAGAGTTTCTTCAGGTTGGATTCTTGATTCTCTACACAACTCCTGTAGTTCAGTTCTGGTGCGAGCATAGTAGGCAGTAGCAACTTGGCTGGTTGTTGTTACAGGCTGAACTACTGCTGCGGGAGTCATTGCTGCTGTTATTACTTCAGGCAGGAGGGGCGGATGCACTCCTCCGCTCGATTCTCCCTTCCGTCGGCATGAAGGCGTGGTCGCCGGAAGCGATGCTGCGTCGGTGGGTGGGGTCGCCGGAAGTGACGCTGCGTCGGTGGGCGGGGTCGCTGGCCGAACTCTCGTGGGTTCCTCCAAAGCTCCACCCTTCTCTTC